ATACACTCTAGCTTGCAAGAGCATGATTTATTTCTAAATCTATACCAATCTCGAAATGGCTAGCCTTCTAACTCGTCACTCCCCTCGGTTTCCCCGTCCTCAGTTTCGCTTCCTGAAATGGTGGACAAGGGAAAACTATGAGATAACTCAGTAAGTAAATATGGATAGCCCTTGGGTAAAAATGTAAGCATGCCAGGTAAACCATGTGGTATAACAGAACTTTCACTAATAAACCGTTAAGGCGGAAATCAAGTTCGGTTCAATAGCAAAACGTTCCATGACAAACCGTCAATGCAAAATCAGATTCAGTTCAATAACAAAACGTTTCATGCAAAAGAAAACTCAGTTCAGTAGTCTCATCTATAAGTCATGGTCAGTGTTATAACAACCCACTGGCAGGCGACAGAACAAACCGGTCATATCAGTAAACATGTCAACATGTGCTAGCGTTACACCCACTAGTGGGGATCGAAAGTGCTACACACCCACTAGTGTGGATCGGAAGTGCTAGCGTTACACTCACTAGCGGGGATCGGAAGTGCTACACACCCACTAGCGAGGATCGGAAGTGCTAGCGTTACACTCACTAGCGGGGATCAGAAGTGCTACACACCCACTAGCGAGGATCGGAAGTCATGACTATATAAGAGACAAAACCATGTATGATTACAGAAAATTTCGAAATTCACAATCAATCTCAAATCATCAAAGCAGGATCATTAACATAACCACATCGGAGACAAAACAAGCAAAAATTTACAGAAAAGTCTTAATTCACCAATCGCTTTTAAATCATCAGGACAATCACTTAAATTTCAAGTAGGCATGCTCAAATCAATACAAAAGACTAATAATCTTATTTCAAATCAATCATGCTCATTTCCAGAAAACCATGAAATTCTCGTTAAAATCATCAAAACTTCCATTTCAGTTTAATCACACTCAAGTGCTGGTAAAGTCAATTTAAAATCAATTAAAACCTTGCCACCATCTCAAAAACAATTAAAACATGCTTTGAAATCGAAGGGCTTTACCATAATTTACTTACCTCACTCGCATAGAACAGAAAGCTAACCCAAGTGCTACGGTGACAGAACGATCAAAACCTAATCACAATATCCAAGAATTAATATCGCACTACCATAAATTCAAACTGATATCATCATCAACGCTACCCCCAATCACAGTGCTATTTCTATCAATCTCCACATAACCGAACATCTCCAATTTCATTCTTATATCACAAACTAAACCTTCAAATCCCGTTAATCGTTAACCCTCGGTGTGTGAACAGTACCCAGTGAACAGTACTCGTGAACAGTGCTCACGACGTGAACAGTTCCAACATTAGCCAAAACACTAGCTAATCACGGGGTTTTCCACAATTAACCTCACAACAATCAAATTACGCTAATTCTACATAAACCAAGCACAAAAACACATTTAATTTACTGCCACATGCTACCGGAATTCATCCCCATTTCCGGTAATTTTTCGGACAACATAGGTGGCCATCAATCAACTAGTTTTCAAGAATTAAAGAAGCCAACCTATCATAAATTTTCCAACTGCAGAACCGAACATGGCAGGGGGAAGAGGCCGGCGGCAACTGCAGGGAGAAACTCACGGCTGTACCAGAAATTGGAAGGGAATAAAGCAATTAAAGCAAACCCAACCTAAATCAAGGTGAAAGAGAGGGATTCATGGCTAGATCTTACCAGAAAAGACCCAAACTCTCACACCCACATAGCAGCTGACGGACAAGGGGGAAGAGAAGAGCAGAACCGGGATTTTCTGGGTTGAGGGGGAAGATTCTAAGCCCCAAATCTTGTGATTTAACGAGAAAAGAAGAGAAATTTCATCAAGATCTCACCGGGTTTTCAAGTGGGAAAGAAAGTCGGTGGCTTGGGGGGGGCTTGTCGGGAGGAAGAATCGAGAAGAAGAACAGAGCAGAAACGTGTATGGCTGGGAAGAAAAGGAATGAAAATATCAGCTGATCCTTATCCTAATTCCTTTTTTTTAGCCCCTCAACTTTTTAAAATTCTACGATTAAGCCCCAAAACAATATTTTCCCTCAAATAAGTCCCTTATTTAATGCTAAAATATCCCCAAAATTTTGGGATATTACAAACCGGTCCGAATATTATTGGCGCGCCTATACTGTTGACTCCCGCCAGAAATATTTTTTGGTATTTAATATTTATTTTTTTTCAGAAATAATATTCGGACCGAAAACGGATTGAATATCATTGGCGCGTTTATACTGTGACGCCCGCCAGAAATATACGGACCGATACCGGTCCGAATATGTTCATTGGTATATTCAGACCGATATTGGTTCGAATATTTAGTTTTCCGGACCGACAATATTCGGTCCGTATATGGTCGGTCCGTATACGTCATTTTTCTAGTAGTGTAAGCCATGTTTTTCATCCATGATGTTTATCTAGCCTCTTCCACATTGTCTAAATTTTCTCGAAGATGCTACTCATTGGTAAAATCATGACATTGAGTGGCCCTCCAGTTTGTTAGACTGACCTCAACAGGGATGACAACCTCAATTTCATAAGAAAGGAAGAAAGGAGTTTCTCTAGTAGCCAAATTGGGTGTTATATGGCATGACCATAAAACTTTATTCAGTTCATCTACCCAATTTCTTTGGGTGGTAATAACACGTGTTTTGAGGCCGCGCAAAACAATCTTATTGGCTGACTCTGTTTGGCAATTTTTTTATGGTGTATATACAGGTCTTAAGACTAGCTCAATGCCATAGTCTTCACAAAATGACCTAAGCACTGCAGCTCAAAACTGAGGGCCATTATTAGCAATAATCTGTTGAGGAATTCCAAACCTGCACATAAACGGATTGGCTAAGCAACGGAATATATGTGCACATAATGTATATGGTTTGACCCATTAAAGAGTATCTGTAGAGTATAGAACCGAATAGGAACCCTTCTACTTTTTTTTTTCATTGTTGTGCATAATGGTTTAGCTTGTATCCACTTGGTGAAATAGTCTACTGCTACGATTAAGTGTGTGCAACCCCCCTTTGCCTTTAACAAAAGGACCAAGCAAGTCTACTCCCCATTGTGCAAAAGGCCAAGGTGAGGTAAGGGAAGATAATATTTCTCTTATACCAAAGGGGACATGTACTTTTAGTCTAATCACCATTGTGGAGGTACATATATAGTTATGTGTTCTTGTTAGAACAAGCTAAGTTACCTAGCATGTGGATGTCATTGGAACTGAACTAGCAAGTCGAGCACTTCTTTACATAGTTTTGTGCACTTTCAACCATATTAGGCCAATAATATCCTTGCCTGAAAAGCTTCCGAGCTAATATTTTTCCCCCGATGTGGGTGTCACACACTATTTCATGCACTTCTCTTACATCATACTCGTCTTCATAAGGAGTGAGAAAACGTACAAAAGGTATTGAGGCTGCTCGTTTATACAACCAGCCATCGACTAAAGTAAAGTGAGCTGCCCTGCATCTAATCAACCAAGTCTTGAATGAGCCTTCAAGTAGTTCGCCATTTTGTAGATAATTAACCAACGATGTGGTCCACCTCAGTGACAATGGATCAGTATTTAAGATTTGATAATCGAATATTGGGTCGGCATAACTCGGAGCATCTAGGACCTCAAGATATATTGTTTGGTGTGGGTTGGCATCGTGTGACGAAGCCAGCTTAGATGTTCATCAACTCATTGATTATCTGCTCGTGGTATTTTGTCTATCTTAAATGAAGCGAAACTCATTTTTAATCGAGAGACCACAAAACAATAGTGAGCTAGCTGAGGATCTTTAACCTCACAATTCCCATTGACCTGATTTACGACAAGCTGAAAATCACTGAAGATTCTTATATCTTGTACCCCTAACTCAGTCACCAATTTCAAGCGATAAACCAGTGCCTCATATTTAGCAGCATTATTAGATGCCTGAAACTTAAATCTTAGCGCGTGTTCTGACTTGAAACCGTGTGGGCCAACTAACACTGCTCCAGCCCTAGAACCCTTAGTATTCACAACTCCATCTACATACAAGGCCCATATGGGATGTGAAGCTACAGTTTCTTCTGTAGCTACAAGGTGGCATTCAACTAAGAAATATGCCAAAGCTTGGCCCTTTACAATGGTGTGGGGCTCAAACCTAACATCATATTCACTGAGCTCCGCAACCCACCCAATCAACCGACTAGAAAGTTCAAGCTTTTGTAATATCTTCCTCAATGGCAAGTCAGTAAAAACAACAATCTGAGCCGACTGGAAATATGCCCTTAACTTCCAAGCAATACAAACAAGGGCGAAGGCAGCTTTCTCTACAATTGGGTAGTTCCATTCTACGCCTTACAAAACCTTGCTTGTGTAACAAATGGGTCTTTGGTGCTTGTCTTGCTTTCTTAATAAGACTGAGCTCACTGCCCCTGCTGCTACACCTAAGTATATGTATAATTTCTCCCCATTAACAGGTTTGGAAAGGAGTGGTAGTGATGCCAAATACCTTTTGAGTTCCTCGAAAGCCTGTTGTCATTCCATTGTCCATTGAAAATTCTTGGGCTCTCTCAAGGCTTTAAAAAATGGAAGGCACTCTCCATCAACATAGAAATAAATCTATGTAGGGCAGTGAGGCGGCCTATCAGATGCTGTACATCTTTCACTGTTTTGGGAGATTCCATCTGTTTTACAGCCTGAACCTTGTTTGGATTTATTTTGAGCCTTTTCTTGGAAACCATATACCCTAGAAACTTGTCGGACTCAATAGCAAACGTGCATTTCAATGGGTTTACCTTCATTTGCGCTCAACAAAGGTTTTAAAATGTTTCATTCAGATTGTCGTTGTGATCTTCAACTCGCAAACTTGTGATGATCATGTCGTCAACGTAGACTTCAATGTTCCTAATGATTTGAAGCTTGAAGACGAGCTGAACTAACTTTGGATACATGGCACTGGCATTTTTCAAACCAAACGGCATCATAACATAACAATAAATAGCATCCCCAGCATAAAATGTAGTTTTCTCCTAGTCGTCCAGCCATAGCTAGACCTAATATTATCCGAAGCTAGCGTCCAGAAAACTCATGTATTTGTGAACAGCTGCTCGTTCTACTAGCTTTTCAATATTAGGCAATGGGTGTGGGTCTTTGGGACATGCGTCATTTAAATCTGTAAAGTCAATACACATTCTCCACCTCCCATTAGGTTTTTTAACAAGCACCGGGTTGGATACCCATTTTGAATACTCCACTTTTCTTATGAAACCTGCCTGCAATAGTTTCTGTATTTCTTTATCCATGGCAACTTGCTTTTCAGGACCAAAAAGGCGACGCTTTTGTACCATCGGCTTCCCCATAGGATCTGTGCTGAGTTTATGAACGGCAAATTCTGTTGGGATTCTAGGCATCTCATCTGTCGTCCAGGCAAAGACGTCTTTGTTAGCTTTTAAAAACTCAAAGAGCTCTCTCCTCTCTTTCGTTGTGAGTTTAGTCCCAATTTTCACCCTTTTTTTCTGTTCCTCCGGGTCCAAGGGAACTGTTTCCACAGGGTCTATTGGTTTGGCCTTTTGTTCCACATTTTCAAGTTAATGATCTATGTCATATATACTTATTGTTTACAGACCTGGTTGGCTTAGTTAGGGAACTGGAGAGGGCTAAGCTTTAGGTAGTGCAATGAGCTCAACCTTCTTGAAAGTGTCATGATAACAAGTTCTGGTCATTTTTTGATTTCCCTTTAACACTCCTATCCCATAAGGAGTTGGGAATTCCATACATAGATGTGGTTGAGAGATGACAGCTTTCAACTCACAAAGCGTAGCCCTTCCGATTATGGCATTAAAAGCTGATTCCATTTTAACTATTAAGAAGCTCATTGACACCATTCTAAACCAAGGTTCGGTACCCATGTAGATGGGAAGGGTGATCACCCTTTTTACAGGAACGGGCTGGTTGTCAAACCCGTATATAGGTCTTTCATATTTCTGTAGGGAAGCAGCGTTTACTGCATCTTCTAGAAGCAGTTACAATATAAGATGTCTAGAGAGCTGCCCGTATCAATCAAGACTTTATTAACATTGTGATTGCCTATATGGACAGTGGCCACAAAGGTATCAACATGAGGCATTATAACATCAGGTTCCCCCTCTAATCTTTTATAATCTGTGGCACTGAACGTAATTGGCGTGTTTTCCCATTTTGCTTCTTCAAACGATTGTTTTAGGGGTCTATTCTTATTTACAATCATTACCTAATGAGCTTAGGCTTTACAACCACCCGTGCTCTAGCCCCCTAAATGCATGCCACCAGAGATCATATTTATTATGCTTGAAGGCGGAGATATTCCAGTATAGCCTATTCCTCTATTGTCTTTTTGATTCTGGGGAACTATTCTCTGCCCCTGTCATCTTCTATTAGGCTGGCATCCTCTATATGCTCTCCCAAGCTCAAAAGAGAATTGGTTTCCCTGATACACATTTTGATTGTTGCCAACCTGATATCCCTGCCCGTGAGATCGGTCGTAATCTTGCATATAATGAGTTTGAATTGGTTACTGAGGGAAAGATTTCTGGATTTGTTCTTCTAGCTTTCCATTCGGAGTTAAATATTCCAGCTCGTCCTTCAAACTCTGACAATCCTCCGTATGATGACTGTATCCACGGTGGTAACCATAGTATTTACTCTTGTCTGCTCGTGTTTGGTCATAAGGAAAGGGTGGCCTCTTGATCCAATGATGAATTTGTGCTAAACTTTGAGACCTCGACGAGGTCAACGAGGTGTAATTTGCATATTTTGGTAAACCAGTAGGTTTCCCCCTCTGCTCAGTAACTTTTTGCTTCTTCTTCTCCTCTCTTCCCTCTTGGTGCCAAGGTTCCTTATTCTGCCTATCATCAGCTCGTCTCTTGGATAATTAGAAGTCTTCAAATAGGATGAAACTAGCTAACTTGTCATTCACCTCGTTTCATGATTTTGGAGGATTCTCCAACAAGTCATATAAGAACCAAACAGGTTTAAGGCCGTGTAACAAGGTGGATAGACAAATGGTATCAAGGATATTATCAATGTCCAAAGTGGCCTTGTTAAATTGTTGTATGTAGTCTCTCAACAACTCTCCTTCTTTATGGTGGACTTGCATTAGCTCAATAGTTGTGTGTTTTATCTCTTGTTGGCTCACAAACTTGTTGGAGAATAACGTAACGAGCTGAAAATAGGAGGTGATGGAATGCCTAGGGAGCTTGTGATACCACCTTCTAGCTATCGACTTTAACATTGATGGGAATACTCTGCACATCACAACATCAATTGCATTTTGTATTTTCATGATGGCTTGGTAGGTATACAAATGTTCATGGGATCACCAGAGCCATCATACTTTTTTGAGTGGGGAATCTTGAAACCTTCTTGATAAGGTTCTGCAGTGACAAACAGGTTGAGAAGAGCACTATCCAAGTCTAAGGCATGCTGACACGACCTCGGACTTTTCAGCTTGTCGACAAACTTCTGTATGTCCTTGAGTTGTTTTTCAAGCTCTGCGTTTTTCTTCTTCAACTCCTCATTGTGCTTTGACAAGCTAGGCTCAAGGTTCAACTTCTCACTTCCCCTCAGCTTGGTCAATACTACTATATTGCTCAAGGTGGGGGAATTACATGCAACAACTTCCGCTAGCTCCTCACCTCTATTGAATAAGGGAATTAAGGGGTCATCAGGAATCAAGCGGGAAAGGATTCTTCCAATAGCCATTTCTAAAACTCTAGTTCTTTCCTCTAGCTCGGATGTTCGAGTTGGTTCTAAGGGTCTTCCCAATGGTGACATATCATGGATAGGGGGTCTCCATCGTGTCTCTGTTGGAATCTAGAACTGTTCATCAAGTTGGGTTGCATACCCAATGGGTGTTCGCTCATCATCAAAGCTGCTCGACTACACTCCTTCCGCTCCCCTTATGAAAAGGTTTCTCAGCATTGGCTGGAAGTCATTCAAATTGAACTCCAAAGGCTGAGTATCGCTCTGATCATTAGTCCTATTCCTTAGGGAGGATGGTTCCCTGTAAAAGTACACACCATGCTTAGCTTTAACACTGTATGGCCACGCCACTTCTTTCTTTGTTTCCCACAGACGACGTCAAAATGTTTGGGCAGCTTCACAAACCTACACTATAGAGATCTTCAACTGCTTCAACACCTGAAAAACACGAAGCAGTTTCCTTGGGAAAACACTCCGACGCTTAAGTTAGCAATACCCAATATTCTAAAGAGAAAAACTCTCAAGGAGAGTAATTGCAGAGAGCGAAGTGTATTGGAGTTATTACCTTGCATGGGGGTAGATGAGGGTATTTATAGCCCCCTATGATAATATAAGACCACACGTGTAAACACCCAATTAACCTACGCGTTGCCACCCACGTGGGTAGGTTTAGGCAAGTGTGTAAATGTGTCCTCATTTGGGATAACCTTAGGCTTCGGGATGCATGACTAGGCTTGCTATACAAGGCCCAGGTTGAATGTTAGGCCCATTCGCAATAAGAATCAAGGACGCTAAAGGGATCACAATGAATACATATAAAGAACTTGAGCCACATGCTGTAATTATTTGAACAATAGCCAAATTCAAGGCCAAAACCCTCTAATCTACCCGGTTGGCCCCGTGCTTGACCATAACAGCCAACCTAACCCTGACTTAGATCTAGCTCAATGCAACAAGATCATCATTAAATGGCTCGATGATCAGCCTTAATCATTGGTGGTTTTTTTATTTTTTGGTAGCATGGGAAGCCTTGAACCATCCAAGTGAGGGAAATAGCCCTTGGACTTGAGCGGAGTGGGTATAGAGTCTTGTATATTAGACTTGAATCATGTAGTAGGACCCGACATTTATAGTGTGTTTGTATGTGAGGATCATATTGAGTGAGAAAATCCCATATAAATATATAACATATAAATATTTATATATATGTGATTAAATATAAAGAGGGTTACTTCACATATTGTCAATTAGTCTAGGTTGAATGCAAATCTTGTGTTGAAATCTACATGTTAATTTTCACATAATATTATAGCCAAAGCTCCATTCCTAAAAAGTCCATTCCTAAAAAGTCCATTATTAGCTCACATGATAAGAATCGAAGTTGATATGATGATATTGGACGTACTAAATCACATTATAAAACTCAGCATTCATAGTGAGCCTACACATGAGAGGTATAAAAATGTCACATTTAGTATATAACAATAAATATAAGGGCATAAAAATCTTATATCAAGTATATAACAAGTGAAAGGGTGTAAAAATTCCATATCAAGTATATAACAAGTAGGGGGTAGAAAATTAGGACGTCCTGGTTGCCAAGACACCTTGATCAACAGTCCATCATGTGGGGCCCCATTTGAGACCCACTAGGGGTGGCAATTTGCCTCGATCCTCGTAGGGCCCCGTAGGGATCCCCGCCATGGGGATGGGGCGAAGAGGAATATTCCTTATCGCAGGGCGAGGACGAAGGGCACTTTCTTTCTTCAGCGAAATTTTGTAGGGAATTTTTCCAACCCTACAAGGATCCACATCCCTGCAAAAAATTAAAAATATATATATAAATTAATTTTATTTCAAATTTAATTGAACTTTCCAACCCAAACCCAATTCAATAAAAATTAAAGTTAACCCAATTTTACCTAACCAAACCCAACCCATTATTAACCATTTAACCCTAACTTTACTCATTTCTCATCACTCTCAACTTCCCCTCCCCTTTTGCTATCAGCACTCTTCAAGAATCTCAAACCTTCATTGCCGCCTTTCTAAGTTCTGCCCTTCTCACCCTTCTGCCCTCACTTTCACTCATTTCTCCATTGCCGCTACTGATCTGCAAGAGTGGCTGCTGGACTTGCTAGAGCTATTGTTGGACTACATACTACTAGAGCTGCTACCAAATTGCTGCCGAACTGCTGGACTGTTGTAGGTATTTTAATGAGCAAATGTGGACTTTGAGAGCTAAGGTATTTTGAGTTGGCTGCCTCCCTTCATGTTGAAATTTGGATGTTGGTTTAGTTATTGATTTTATGTTGGATTGATTTTTTATTATGTTTGGAACAAGTATGTTGAATTAATCTTTGTTTATGTTTGAAACAAATTTGTTAATTTAGCTATTTATGTTGAATTGATTTTTATTTATATTTGAACAATTTATATTTGATTTTATATTTAAAGAATTTTAGTTAATTGTAATTGAATTTTTAGAATTTTATTCATTGTAATTGAATATTATTAATTATATATAGATATTTTATATTTTAATATTAATTGATAGGAAATGAAAATGAGGGGCAAAATATGCCCCGTCAAAAATCCCCACGAGCCCCATTGCCATCCCTAGGACCCACACGATGGACGATTGATCAAGGCATCCTGACAGCCAAGTGGTCCTGATTTTCACTTTTTTTCAAATATGAATGTGAGTGTTAAATACAAGAAAAATTACTAATTGATTTTATATTGAATATAAGTCTTATATTGCTACTTATATGCTCAATTTTTACATTGTGGTCTCTTCGTCTGACACAACCGAATGACAAAGATGCACTAGAAGACATGTTACTGAAAGGATTATTGGGAAGGATTGGAGAGAAGAGGATATGCGGGTGGGTGCCACAAGTGGAGGTTCTAGCTCAGAAGGCAATTGGAAGGTTTGTATCTCACTATAGATGGAACTCGATTCTAGAGAGTTTGTGGTATGGAGTACCTAATGTGACATGGCCTATGTATGCTAAGCAACGACTCAGTGCGTTCATGATGGTGAAGGAAATGGGGTTAGCAGTGGAGTCGAGATTGGATTTCAGGAGCAATGGCAATCTCGTGATGGCTGAGGAAATAGAGAAAGCTTTGCACTGTGTCATGGATGGTTGTAGTTAAGTGAGGGTGAAAGTGAAGGAAACGTCGGACATTGCTAAGAAGGCCATTAAGGATGGTGGATCTTAATTGCTTTCCGTTGGACGTTTGATAGAGGATACGGTCGGAAAAAACTATCGATGTTTGATTGTTTTGAGTTTGATCTTTTCTATTGTTGAAGAGGAAGCAATAGCCATGCTGGTAGGCATTCATTTTCATTACATTGTATTTGTATGCAGATTTTCTAGTTGGATTTCTTCATCATCTGTATCTCTGATTACAGAGACTTGTTTTTAATGGTTGTAGCAGCATCTTTCGTGTTCTTTCTTTAAACATTGCTTCAATTGGTCTTTTTTTGACTAGGCAAAAACCCTTCTTAAGCCCTTCAACTTTTTCAACAACAAGTGATAAGACCCTAAACTAAAAATGAAGCAAATAAGCCCTCCAACTCCCCATCTGAAGCAAATCAGCCCTTCCGTTAATTGAGCCCCTCAACGCCGTTTGTGTAATGGCTAATGTGGCAGTTAATCTCCACGTGCCATCCAACGTGTCCTTAATGGTCCATGGGCAGGAATTATCCCGCCACATGATCACCACCTAGATCGGACTCTGACCCTACATTTATTGACACCTCGCTGTATGACCCAATCTATTTCGATCTCACCACACGCTCACCTGTTATACCGCTTTCGTGCTCTACACTCGCCACACTCGATACTTTCCTGGTATTCCTCCTGCTCCCGCACCTTGAACTCCTAAACACCTCCTCGCTCCCATTGAAGACGGGGTACTGAACAAACGTTGGCATCAATTTCTCTACGCGCCTCACGCGCTGACGCAAATTCGACCAGACGGGTGGAGCGTGAATTCTCTTTCTTAGAACTTTCAGACACTCAATGACTTGTGACATTCCAGGGCATTTCTCCGCCGTGGACCTCACGCACCTTGCTGCCAGCACAGCCAGGGTCAGGATTACCTACGGGTCAGCCGGAGATCCGATCCAATCGTCGCAGATTGTGGTGAAATTTCCTCGTTTAATCAACGGAACTGCCCAGTCGATGACAGAAGGCAGGCTGTAGTTCAAATCAATGGCGTGCCTTCCTAAAAAGATTTCCAGTAACAGGATGCCGTAGCTGAACACGTGCTCATTAAGTTTACGTCATCACTCATTTAGTTGCACTGTTCCTTGCCTGTTGACTTAAAATGTACTCCCTCGATCAAATGAAGTTTATTTTATGGGTTTGTAAATGTGTTATTGTTTTTCAAACCTAAAAAAATGTGTTATTGTTTTTGCCTGGATTATATTTGATTCTATTTTGTAGATCATAGCTTCATCACATTATTAAATTTAATATGTAATGTATAATGGCACCAATAATTTATTAATATTGTATTATTAATGAATTTATTATTAACAAATCATTAATATAATTTAATATCACGTATTAAATTTGAGTTAATTTATCTAAATTAAAAATTTTATAAATAATTTTTTTTATTTTTTATTCCAAGTAAATTAATCCCTCTTACTTAACTTTTTGAGGGTGGATTTCACTATTATGCCTTCTGCATGAATGGCTGAAATCATTGGCGAAACATTCTTTTTCTCTTGTTTGATGGAAGAAAAAAAAATGGTGATTTAAAGGAATGGCTCGTTCTGATTCAGTGGCATTGGACCCTCGATTAGGACTATTCACCTTCAATGGATTGCATGTTCGAGTCTCACGGAATTTCTTTCTCTTTTCCCTCAATTAACCTTGTAAATAATTACAAATTGTTCAAAAAAAAGTAATTTAGAGACAGTTTGTATGTTAATTTTTTTCAATATAACATTACATATTATTATTAAATGATTTTATTTGTTTCACTTTATTAAAATTTATGATATTATTTATATTTACTTATTTAATAGTACTTAAAAATAATAAGAAAAAGTCTAGCAAATAAGATATCCATATACCATAAGATAAAAAAAATCTCAGTTCTTGTTTGAAGATGCATAAAAAATTAAAATTGTCCAAAAGAAAAATATGCAAAAATATTAAAAGAAAAGTATTATCCAATTAAAAAATTGATACAATTTTAATTACATAATATTAACTATTAAATGAAAGATAAATTTTTAATATTAAAAAAACTATTTAATAATATTTTATAATTTAATATAATTTAAATAATAAAATAAAAGTTTTAAAAATTGAATGCAAATAAAATAGCGGAAATGTCTAAATAAAAACAAAATCCATAAAATCCGCATGAATCAGAACTTTACTCTTCTGTGAATTTAACATTAACCCCCGATCCTACTCATACCCAACCAAGATTCTAATTTAATTAAACAATAATTAGTTTCCATTAATCACGTTAAACAAAAGCTTTCTCCAGCCATTGAGCATCGACGAAACGCGCCTCCAACGCTAACTTCCATTTTACCTAAAGCTTCAACAGTGACAGTAGCGCAGACTTTCTAAGAAAGAGAGAGACAGAGACGGAGAGGAAGATTTCTGAATAAAAAACTCTGTTTCTCCGTTTCCCTTTCTGTAGTGAAAGCGCAAAAGAGAAGGGAGAGTGGAAGGGAGCGTACAGAGAGTTGTGTACATACTGCTTCACCCCTAGAGTGGTGTAAACCGTGTCAAGCTCCCCCATTATGAACTTCACTGGGACCTGCACTTTTGCCCTGGTCCATGCAGCTATAAGCTCCCAGTTTTTGCGGGCAAAAACAGAGGAAACTTCTCAATCAAAAGAAGCAGAGCAAAAAATTTGTCAAAAGATTTTTGGGGTCTCTTACAGATCCATGGTTCTATAGTAGTTCAGCCCTCGAGTGAAGCCTTTCTGGTCAAATTTCACGGTGGAGTAACTGAAGTCTTCTTCCGAGAGCCAGGATGGTAGGGTGATTGGAGTTGCATGAGAGATTCCAAATTCATTTTCTTTAGGCAAACAGGGAGGTCCTGGAGTTCGATTTTAAGAAAATTTTCTTAAGCACTTCTTTGTTTCCAAAATGAGCATTGCTGCTTCAATCTTCCCAGGTTCCTGCAAATTAATTCAGATTCAAAAACAAGTGTTGCAAAAGATAACCGAGAAAATCTTGTAACAGCCATTCTCGCACACCGCTATCGCCGATTCTGCATTGCAAGAGAGATAACCCATGAAATCGGTCATCGGAGAGAAACAGAGGGGGAAGGGGCGGTGGGCTGGTGAAAGAGGCAACCGAGAGGAGCAGAGGCAAGTGTGAAGGGGACGGCCATCAATACATTTGTAGGAGGAAAAGGACACATGGACGATTAATGGAAGGTGGTGCTATTGGGAAAACTTTTTTATTTTTTTATTTTTTGTATAATTTTCACATATCATTATTTAATGAATATATTTAACCATGCGAGTCTCACATGAATTAAATGAATCAATTATTTTAATAACACATCAAGTTATATAAAAATATGAGATAAAATGATTATTCCAATAGCATTTCCCATTAATGAAATACATTTGTAATAACAACTATTACGTTGGATGCCACGTGGAGATTAACTGACACGCAAGTCATTACACAAACGATGTTGAGGGGCTCAGGTAATGGAGGGGTTGATTTGCTTCATACGAGGAGTTTGAGGGTTTATTTACTTCATTTTTAATTTAGGGGCTTATCACTTGTTATCGAAAAAGTTGAGGGGCTTAAAAAGGGTTTTTGCCTTTCCACTACCATAGCAAGAACAATATGTTAGCACAGACTTGATGGTGTCTAGTGGATCGTGTGTGGAGGTTGTTTGTTGGGTTATAAATGAATTAAGTATAAAAGTACTCTAACTCAATACATACTTTTTCAAGTTTGAGTCACAGTTGTAATTTTTAAAATTATTGAATTATAAATTTTTGTTAGACTTAAAAACAAATTCAAATCTGATTTAGATATTAAGCTCAAATTAAGCACCTTAGGAGTTTTTTGTCTCACTTACAACCCTAATTGCAAGGGTCTTGGACTTTAATCAAAAGAATGGGAGAATTTACTATAGGAATTAAAAGAAATATAAAGAAAACCAAGAAGTAGAAAAGGAAAGAAAGAAGTTCCTGTTAATGATCATGATACTAGTGATGTTGAAAGAACAACCAGAACCGCACACGTTCAATCAATCAAGTGCACAACTAGTTCAATTGACGATGTCATTTTTTTTTTTTTTTTTGAATAAGACAATTAAATTGCAACTATATTTAGGGGATGGGATGAAGGTTAATAGTTGGGTTCGAAATCAAGACCTAAGTACGACACCACTGAGCTCTTACCCTTGGGTCACAACCGTGATTGGCCAATTGGTAATGACTTTGAAACCCCGGCTAATGTTTTAATGAACAGCAAGGGAATGGGTTTCAAAATGAAAATAATATAGTGATAATATCTCATAGTATTGTAATGTGTTATTAATAATTAATTTTTATTTAAATATTTATTTATAATATAATATATATTTAATTAATAATACGTTATAATTATAAATTTATATAATATTATAACTATATAGTTATCATTCTCGAAATATATTTTTGTGTAGTGTAAACTACACCATGCTGAACTAACCATTCAATAGGTAGAGACCTCTCAATGTATTAGCTTCCCCCAATCCAATAATCCCTTTCTGTTGCTAGACTGAAAAAATGGGGACTCTTTCAAATTTTTTTCTGTGATTTTAGTTTTTGGTTAAAGGTTAAGTTTGAATTATAATTAACAGTAAATAATTGATTAAGGCTGTGTTTAGTCTCAACTAAAGATTATTTCTATTGGGGTGTTGACATGCTAATAATATTTTTGTATAATTTTTTATATAAATTTTATATATCATTCAATAAAAATGCATACAAAATTATGGGTGTTAATAATTAAAGTGAAAAAAGTAAATCATTAAATAATATATAAGATTGTATAAAAAAATATATGAAAATATGAGAATGGTGTATAACAAGTCATCCTCTTAAAATTATTTTTGACGACCTCTCTAAAAATCCAATTTCTAATTAATATTTTTAAATATCAAGTATTGGATTTAAAGTTTTATTTACATATATTATACATGTCAATTTTCACATTGATTCAATACTTATAATCATTTAATTAAAAAAAAAACTCTATTTATTAATATATATTTAATGATCTTAAATTTTCCATAATCAATGAAATGGTTACACTTATTATATTACCTTGAAAATCAACACGTATAATTTTTATGAATAGATATTTAGATCCAATTACTAATTTTTAAAAATATTAATTAAAAATGTGTTTTTAAACAAATTTTCTAAAAATAGTTGAAAAATGATATGCAAAACAATTTTCCCTAAAAATATTATCTATCAATTATTTTCCATTTCTATTGTTATTTGGAAGGATTTACGTGTTGAAGAGGGAGAAGTGTAGAAGAGGTAAAAGCAAAAGAGAACGGCAAGGAAGAGGATGAGGGCATTTTGGTCATTTTCTATCTGAGAAAGGCATATCTCGACCTAATTTATTTTCAACAGACTTAATTTAATAAATCATTTATTAATTTTTTTTATTTTAATTTAAATATTTTATTTTTTTTCAAACTCATCTATTAACTTTTAAAACTATTTCGTCTACTCTTCATAACTCTGTTAACTCTCTTAACGAAATTCTACATATGTGTTCACGTCCTGCCATGTAAGCAGCCACATGGCAGGAGCAAATTTCCAATAGCATTGTTTCTCTTTCATTTTTTTTTTTGCCCACGTGGCAGGGCAAATTTCCCGCAGCATTGTTTCCCTTTTATTATATTTTTTTTTGCCACATGGCGGGAGCAAATTTCCTGCCACATCATTGTTTCTCTTTATATTTTTTGTCACCGTTTTTCTTTAATTAAAACAAAGTTTGTTATTAGAAAAATAATAAAACTAAAATATAAGTATTTTAAAAAATAAATTTTTTAACAAGTATCTTTAAAATATAAATTAAAATATATTTATTATATTTTTTTATAAAAAATATAAAAATAAATTTTAATTTTACTAACCAACCAATTAAAATCGCATAATATTGAAAACAAAATTTTTTTTTGTAATTTTTCATATAAATTATTAAAAAAATAAAATAAATGCACTCGTAATTCATATTTTTAAAATGCATGTCAAAAAAACCTTTTAAAGATTTAATATAATATTAAAATAAAAGTGTAAAATAGTTAACTTTTTCATAATTTAGAATTCAATTTCTATACTTAAATCTTTTTTTTTCTCTCTTTTATGATAAATGCAAATCACACCAAGTCACTCAGTTAAGATTTTCACTTCTCTTTTTTGAGATAGGCCTATAGAGCAATTGGTTAAATTATTGACATAAAATGCTTCCTCACACATACGGTCAGGATTCAAAACTTCATTTCCCTTCTCCATACCTCTCCTCTCCTCTCTATGAGAGTTTTAACCAATTAACCTCTCTCATGAAAAAGAAAAAGGGATTTTTCCTTTTCTCTTCTAATAGAAACTCAAAAGATCATTAAAATATATATATATATATATATATGTACAACTCAAAGAACTTGGTCTGAAGTTCATATTAATGTAAACAGATATACAATATAGGTAATTCTAGTAACACTGATTCTAATTTCAGGAATTGTTCAGTACAGAAGGCATGAAAATCCTATAAAACCAGGGGAAAACAAAAATATGTCTAATAATTTGATAATTAATGATGTTTTCTTCTCTTCTATTACTGCCTAAACTCTACAGAAAAGTTTGTGGTCATCCAGCACAAAGAGAGTTTGGTACTTGAACTTGATGTTATTATTCTCCGCACATAGACCATTCTCTGAATTTAATGAATAAGCTATTTGAATTACCTTCATTCCTCTGAGATTTTGAAAAAATGTATAGGACAAGATCAGGTTGTTTATACCACCCATTTTAGGCTCTGTTTCAAATCCGGGGTTGATGTAGTAGAAAATCTGCAAAGACGTGCCATTGAATAACAAAAAACTTGTTCTCTCCAGAAACTAAAAATTTAAACAGCCTTCACTTACAGGCATGTCAATCTGTTATCCAGGAAGAAGACGCTGCTCCTCAAAGCAAAAGCACTGGATTTTGTTGAAGTAAACTGCAGCCAGAAAAAGGAAAAGAAAATAGAAGCAGACAGATTAACTGAGCCAATCCTCCCAGAGTTTTCACATGATTGAAATGATAACAACGATGACAATTGATTTTTAATGCAGTATACTCTTAGGTTTCATTGAAGATTATGCAGCAGAACTCCTAAGAATTATTAATTTATTATCAACATTTGTCTGCTCATTTATCAAGTACAAGTTAGTAACCTAACTGTAAGGACAGCTATACGAGACACAAGGCAAGTTTCGGAGCTCAGAGCTAACCGCACCTTGGCTGCAGAGCTCAGAGTTTACCACATCTCGGCGTTTCGCCGTAGGTGTATGGCAGCCACAATAGGTACGCCCTCATCTGATCATTCGTCCATATCAGAACACCCCTTCTCAAGGAACCTGCTCCACCAGAACGCACCACGTGCATTTAATGCGGTTGCTCCGTTAAGGCACGTTACATTCACCTAAAACGTCTACTCCGTCAGGCGCACCATGTCACCATTATTAGATTGACTGAGCCACGTGGGTGCCTGGCCAAGATGGACAAAGCCCACAAGGTAAGGCTCGATAAATAGGCGGAACAAAAAAGAAAAAGATTATTAGAAAAATTATTGACTTAAGCATCGAAGTTTCTCCCTGAGGACCGATCTCGGGATTTTGCAGGACCACTTGGAGAAGAATCAGCCCGAAGCAGGATCTTAAGGACATTCAGCAACAACACTAACCTTCTTCTCTTTTTTTTGGTTTATCAAATGATAAGTTATACAATAAAAAATAGCCCTCTCCACCTATCCCAAGATTCGAACTTAAAATCTCCAAGATTGAGATTCAAATTCTTAACCATTGGATCGTCCACTATGGGACATATCTACTTTCCTCCCTGATCCTTATACAAGTATCATCATGCATGCTTAAGCTTCAGCCTTTATGTGCATGCCGATTGTCAGTTTTTCCAATACCAGTGCTGAAACACAAATAAATGAAACCCCAAAATGATGCAGGAAAACCCCATTGGTGCCAGTAGAAATTATACTTAAGCAGCAAGACACAATAGTCCTGCATTTCAGCTAAAGTTTTCCCATGATTATTTGAGTACAAATCTACCGTCATTTCTCAGTCCCCAGGAGAAAATCCCCACATAAAATAGAACAGATTATGTTGAGAAAATATCATGTAATAATGTCCAGTTGCATTAATAAAAAGGAAGGGCAAAACAAAATGCAGTTCACACTTCACAGTATTAAATGTGCAGATCATTCTTTTACATCAAAATCACTCTATGTCTATCCCAAATATTGTCAACTACGCATTCTTTCTTGCATAAGAAGATCTATTGTTTTAACAGTCATACCTCTATCAACAATTCAAATAAAATGTAAGTGTTTATTTTGAAGGCACATCCAGGGAAAACAGAATGGAAAGATATTTTTTACTAGGTCCTAGCTTTAGGCCCTCCTAATTTACCCCCAAGCAATGAGTAAATATCAAGTTGTATTTGGAAAATGAAGCAAAGATCATGTTTTTCATGAAATGCCACAGAGATCCAGAATGGAGGATAATTCTGCAAAGAGATCTAAAAATTATGAACAAATACTTTGATGCATCAGGGTACCTCCACTGGGGAAATTTTTATATGTAGACATACTAGTTATTGGTTTTGAGCTTCTATTTTCAGCAGTATAAAATGCTAGGGCACTCTCTCCTGGTTTGACCCTTACCTAGCAGAAAGAAATGATGAAAAGATATGTTAAACATGATGGAAACCATACTCTAAATTGCAGAAAATTAGACAGAGAGAACTTGGAAGTGAGAATCACCTCTCTTTGAGTCGGAATGAATTTCCTAGACATTCCATCAGAGACATCAGCGTTGAACTGCACAACTCTCAGCCTGGTGAAAGAGATAAAGAACTCAACAAGACAAAGACAAACCTGGTACTCCTTCGGTCATTCAGGTCAAATTTCATATGCCTCAGAAAAGAATCCCTAGAAAATACATGCATTAATTGAAGTTGCATAAACATACAGATAGAAATTCAAAACATAAGAAATTATGCAAAGATCCTTAACCCAGTGAAATCAGAGTTCGGAGATGCTATTAGCTGATTAGTTGAGGCAGTCCTGCATCATTAGTTTCTTTGTAGAGGATTGGCATGAGACTATAAGAGAATTAATATAATTAGAAGACAGAATAAGGGGTCAAATTTTCAAATACCATATCTCTTACTCAAACAGCAGTATCTGGAACAAATGTCGAGAGGCCAAAAAAGTGCACATTAAAAGTTAGAAAAAAATGATATCCACTTTGACCTTAGGGATGCGCATGATCGGACAGTCTGTTTAGAAGTTTGCTAAATACTAAAGAAATCAAGCCTTGGCACTTGGGAATATATCCTTTTCTTTATTTTCCACTTTCTTCTCAACAATCGACATACCATATTCTAGCATTGGAACTTCGATGCCCATAAAGCTCATGTCCACACCCGCAAGAAAAAATTTTAATTTCCAGAAAATCACTCCTAGAAATCCTACTATTCTAATAATTTGGGTCTGGAGAAAGATCTAATCAACATTTATTATAAGATAAAGTCTGGTATAAATAAAGCGCACTTAGAGTCCATTTGGTATGGTTGAAACTTTTGATGCAAGTTTTGTCTGTAAAAATATGTTATAAAAGTTTTGTTTTTTAAAAATTGAAAGTATTTGGTAAAATTTCTTATAGAAATACTTTAGAATGAAAAGGTGTTTGGTAAAATTTTTTATAAAAGATCTTTTAATTTTAAAATGACTTTAAAGGATTTATTTTTAAAAAAAAGTATTATTGCTCCTATTTTTTAAAAAAGTATTATTTCTCCTTTCTTTGTCATTTTTATAGAGTTTTAATTTTTTTTTAAATTTAATTATGTTAAAATTGATGATTACAAATGAAAAATATAAATGCTAGGAATTAATAATTTTAATATTAATAGATAAATAAATATATATTTATATTTTAATATTAAAAAATGAAATATGTTACATTTAAGTTTTATAAATAAGAGAATAAAAAATAAAAATTGACAATAATAATCAT